CTTTTTTTCTTTGTTAGTTTTTTTTTTTTAACATTTCATTTGTTCAGTATCTCCACTGTATTTCTTTTTCATATTTATTATGGCATCATTTACATATAATAATACACTGTTTTAAGAGTGCAATCTGATGAATTCTGGCAAATGTACACAACTTGGCAAATCCCCATGGGAATCAGGATGTAGAACATTTCCATCACTCCTGCCCCTTTCCAGTCAGCCCCCTACACATCCAGCTCCTGAAAACCACTGAAATGCTTTCTGTCACTAAGGTTTCACTTTCTTTAGTATATAAGTGGGCTCATACAGTATATAGCCTTCACTTTCTGTTTTTCTTGTAGCATAATACCTTTGAGACTCATTCATTTTGTTTCTGAGTAGTATTCTACTACATGGCTGAACTAGTATTTGTTAATCTGTTCACCAGCTGATGGACATTTGGACTGTTTCTGGTTTTGGCTATTACAAGAAAAGCTGATTTTTTGGGTACAAGTTTTCAGTGAATATGTTTCCATTTCTCTTGGTAATAACTAGTACTAGAATTTCTGGGTCATATGATAAGTGTATCTATATTTATATTTATATTATTTATATTTATATTTATATTGTTTATGTTTATGTTTATGTTTATGTTTATGTTTATATTTATATTTATATTTATATTTATATTTATATTTATATTTATATTTATATTTATATTTATATTTATGAAACTGCCAAACTGGTTTCTCACATGGCTATACCATTTTTAGTAGTCACCAGCAATATAGGAGATACTCAGTTGCTTCAAATCCTCACTATCACTTGCTATTCCAGTTTGTGTGTCGTGATAGCCCATTATGGTTTTAATTTGCATTTCCCTAATGACTAATGATATTGAGCCTCTTTTCTTGTGTTATTTTGCCATCCCTGTGTTTTCTTTGGTGGAGTATCTTCAAATTTTTGCTTATTTTTAACGATGCACTGAAATTTACCCTGGTATGTGGTGTGTGGAATAAATCCAATGTCATTTTTTAATACTGCTATCCAGTTATTCCCCAAACCACATATAAAAAAGTTCATCTTTTCCCACTGATGTGAGTTTCTACTTTCATCATAAACTCAGTTTGTCTGTGTATTTGAATCTATTTCTAAATTTTTCATCCTATTCCTATGAATTAGTTTTTTGAGTCCTAACTAATAGGGCTTTAAAGATATCCTAATTTTCTTTGGTTACTTTGTCAGATCTATAGCAATGATATGAATAATTTTTTTAGAACATGTTATAGCTTCTCATTTTTTCAACATTAATTAGTGGCAATGAAAATCATACCTTTTAAAGGTGTTTTTAAGTTAACACATTAGTCCTGTAAAGCTCAATTTTGGCAGAAGCAGAGCTCGATGAAATTCAGTGATGCTTGTTATAACATCTCTGTTTAAAAGTTGTTATTTCTTATAATCTGACTTTATTTCAATTTCAAATACTTGTTAACCTAGTTCTCATACAGCTTTCTCTCATCCATGTAAAAGGAGAGAATAACTTTTACCTGTTTACATTTATTTAGAAATGAGAGCTGGGAAGAGAGATTGGGAATTCAGTCCCACATTATTGATATATAAAATCAATGTCTGTTTTCATTTGTTCCCCTTAGATATAAAAAGCTTATAATTCATAAAAACTTTAAAAAATACTTAGTTTTTTTCTTGGTTCTCTTTTCCTAGTACTTATTTAAAAATTGTGTTTCTCCTATAAGGATACCAGCCAGCTGTGTGCTTAGAGAATTATTAATCTTTGCAAGAAACTGAAGTTGAAAATATCTTTGCTCACCTTTGTCTATTAACTCAGTTCTTTTTTGATTTCATTCTTTTCTTATTTCTCACCATTTCTATCAAATTGTTCATCTAGTTATATTTATTCCAGTTATATAAGATAGCTTAAAGAATTTTAGGATGCTTGTTGCTAAAAGAACTGTACAGATTGCTAGAAGAACTTCAGAGGGAAGTTGTGATTCATCAGGTAATCCCTGTTCTAAAAGCTGCCTGGGATGTAACATGCACACTCTCCACAGAGATAGTATGGTATGATGAATAGGTTCCCAGGTCAGTGGATAATGGTGTTGCCATGGAAAAGAACATTCAAAATGTTAACGTGGGGTGCCACAGTCCATCTCCCTGATTTGTCTCATCTTGGTAACTCATTCATTTATCAAACATTTACTGAAGAGTTTTTCCCTTTCTTTTAATGTGCTGCTGATAAGAGAGTCTACATTTATTGAGGGCATGAGAGGAGGGAAGGTTAGTGGTGAAGGGCTGTGTTTCAGAAATGAAAACAAAGATAAACAACATCCCAGTGCTCACGGAGTTCATGGGTACCTTCCTCAACTTTTACTTTTTATCTATACTATTCTATGATTTAAGAATTCTAGCTTCATGCTACTGACGTTCAATCCTACATTCAGGGATTTTTGCAGTCTAGGTACTGGAGAAAGGATGATTGCTTTCATAGAGTAGAAGACTAGAGATGAGACCACTCTTTATTCTGTCCAGGTCTTGTACTCTTGCTTCCCAGCCCCTACCTACACTAAATGGTTGATTCTCATCTCAGTACTATATGCTGAAGAATTTCTTTACTCAGTTTCTTTTCTGTTTTAGGGCCTCTGTCATACAGTTTTCATTATTGTGGTTTTATACATTTTAATGTTAGTTAACCAGAGTGAGTGTTCTGTCATAAACTTTTTTTTTTAAGTAACTTTTCTGGATATCTTAGTATTTGTGCATCCAGATGATCCACCCTACTTTCCAAATAAATTCTCTTAAGATTTTGATTGACATTTTTATTCAGTTTATAAGTTGACTTATAGACTATAGACACCTCTACAATATTGTTTTTCTCAGTTTAAGAATAGGTTTTAATTTATATTCCTCAGTAAAGTTTTATAGTTTTTTCATAGTGGTTTAGTTTATTTTTAGCGTTACTTTTAAAATTTTATAATCTAAATGGCTATTGATGTTACTTTGGGAAGTTATTTTTGCTTACTTATTGAAAAACCATCTTAAGTAACTCTAATAATTCTAAAATATTTTTAGGTTATATTTCTGACAGGATCGTATCATCTAAAGTGATGAAGATTTGCCTTCTTTCTAATGCTGAAATCTCTTTTTTTTCTTACCTAGTTTTATCAGGTAGTCCTTCCAGAGTGATGCCAACAACTGTGTTGATAGTGGACATTAATGTCTTAACTCTAATTTTGCTTTTAAATTTTGTTGATATTTTACCATTAAACATTATACTCTGTTGGTTTTAGAAATTTTTTTAAAAAGTCCTAATAGAGTTTCCTTTTCTAATCAGGACAAATTTCTTAAACTGTTGATAGCCTTTACTAAATTTCTTTTATTGATTCTATTTTCCACCTAGGAAATATCATTTTTCATAGGATCAAATTACCTACTGTTTGTTTGACTAGTGTCTCCACTTTTGGTACTTGTCTCTGTTAATCTGTACTGTGAATTGCTGTATACAGATTCTTTTCACAAAATCAGTTTGAGCATGTTTTACTTATATTCCAGGGAATTGTAGCACTATAACATTTTTTCATGTTATGTAGTGAAAAGTACAGTCTTCTCAAGCTATTTTTATTACTTATATTTCTTTGCGATCAGAACATGGGCCTTTCTAATCTTCACCTTTGTCAAGAACTGTGAAGGGTCAGAGATCTTACCCTGCTTGCAGGCTACCATGTCAGCCTACTATAGTTTTATGGATCCTGACAGAAGACACAAATCTCTTGGGTCACAGACAAGGACAGTTTATTACTCATAGCAATTGCAGTAGCCACAGTATGATCATTTTTCTTGCACTAGTTATCCAACCCCATTTCTGACGGGTACATGAGTAGGACCAGATGATACCAGTACACACAGTTTAGTTTCATTACAGGAGAGGACCCTGAACATTCTCTGGAACCTCAGCCTGCTTATTTCTTGAATTCACCCTTTCCTTTCTTTCCCCAGCTTTCTCCCCACATCAACCTAATTTAAGACTGTCTCAGCTTCCATATCCCCCATCTTGGACCTTGTGTCTTTGAATGTGCTGCTTGTGTACTAGGTTCCTCCCATTCCAGACACTCCAGTGATCCTTCTTGGTTTGCACAGTGGCCTCAGTCTTTTTTTTCTCTTTGGAGAATTTATAAGTTCTATTTTCTTTCCTGCCATATTGTGCTTTGGTCAGTGTCTTAGTGTTTGCAGAGTGCCTGCAGGGACATTATTTATTTTTTTGTCTTTCACAGAACCCTTTAGGGCAGTGTATTGGTTAGGAGTGTGTTCAGTTACAATGGGTGTAATAGAGTTTTGTTTCTGATTATGGGTGTGTTTTTTTTTCATGTAAAAAAGTCTTGGAGTAGATAATGCTGGTGTTGATTCAGTTTTTTAGCAACTCCCTTTCCTGTAAATTTTTCCATGTGCTCTTTCCGCCATGTGAAATTCTGTTTTTTCTATATCTGCAGTTCTAAATCATACCCATCCTTTAAATTATAAACTCTTCTGTAGAGTCTTTGTAGAAGACTTACTCCCCAACTGAAAAAACTCTTTTTGTATCTACTCACAGGCACTAATAAGCTAGAAAGTGGCCTTTATCATTGTTTTATATATATGTCTTATCTTCCCTGTAGACTGTACATTCCATGTCTGTGGTGTATCTTTTGTTACCTTCTGAAAAGTGCTTTGTTTAAGATAGACACAGTTTGTTTACTTGTTGAATGAATGATACAGAATGAGTGAACCTTACTTTTAAGCAACCTTGAGATTAGATGTTGACAGGGGTATGAATGTGGAGGTTTGGGTGTTAAGCAGGTAATTTAATTTATAGGAATTAAATGTATATATTGCTGAAAGGAACACCTGTATTGTGTAAATTAGTTTCTGAATGCACAAATATTTCTTTAATACTATCAAATGTATCTTCACATACTTTAAAAATGTTCTATTAATATTATATGGAATAAAATGGAAACTATTCTTTTTTTCAGTGCTTAGATGAATATGAAGATGATGAAGCAGGACAGAAAGAGCGAAAAAGAGAAGATGCAGTTACACAACAGAACACAATGCAGAATGAAGCTGTCAGTTTATTAGATCCAGGCAGTTCCTATTTGCTACAAGTGAGTATTTAAAAATACTAGGACATCACTAGCTTTTTTTTTTTTTAATCCTCACCTAAGGAATGCTTAGAGAGAGGAAGGGAGAGAGAGAAAGAAACATAGATACGGGAGAAACATCACTCAGTTGCCTCCCACACACACCCAACTGGGGATCCAACCAGAAATGCAGGTATATGCCCTGACTGGAATTGAACCGATAACCTTTCTGTACAGTGGACCAGGCTCAACCAACTGAGCCACTCCCACCAGGCGTCACTAGCTATTTTAAAGATAATTTATAAGCTATTGTTAATAATTGTTCTAGTTTCATTTTGGTTGCATCAGCTTCATTGAAATATTTTCAGTGGATTTAACTACTGATTTTCCTTACATCCAAATACTTTTGACTTAAGCAGTGTTTGGTCTTTATTTCCTGGTCAATGAATATTTTGCCGACTGACTTACTAATAAGCAGGTATAAACAGTATCAATTGTAAAAACAACCAAGGATAATAATTACCTCTTTGCTCTTAAAAAAGTAAGAATTAGTAAATTTAAGTGAGTGTACAGTTCTCTTCTAGTTTGATATTTGTTTTTTTTTTTTGTTTTTTAAATACGTCTTTATTGATTTCAGGGAGAGGGAGAGAGAGATAGATAGAAACATCAACGATGAGAGATTGTCACTGATCGGCTGCCTCCTGCAAGCCCCCTACTGGGGACTGAGCCTGAAACCTGGGCATGTGCCCTGACCAGAAATCGAACCTTGATCTCCTGGGTCATAGGTCGATACTCAGCTGCTGAGCCACGCCAGCCGGACTGATATTTGTTTTGAATTGCATAGCAAATAAAGAGTTGAACAAGTTTCTACAAAGTCAAATGTTTAAACATAATAATAGACAAAATTGTGAATTGTTAGAAACATCTGTATTTCTCTGTAATTATAAAATACTTCTTAAAATAAAATTTAACTCAGTTTTAAATTAGCTGTTATTTTTAATTCTTGTGGCACAGAAAATTGGGAGTTCATGGTATTGGGATGCCTCAGTATAAATCCACTCATGGAATCACTCATGGAATATTTCTTTGTTTTCTGTTATAATAAGATGTTACAGGCTCATCTTTAGCTCTCTTACCTTCAGCCTTGGAAGCAGCCATTTCTCTAAGGAAGCTTGATTCCTTTTCCTGGAAAATGATATTTTGAAGCCAAGATCTGGGCTGTAGGTAACATGTACATCTTGTGTTATTAAGTTGTCACTATTCTGCCCAGCCTGCATGGCCCAGAGGTTGAGTATCAACCTACGACCCAGGAGATCATGGTTTGATTCCTGGTCAAGGAACATGCCCTGATTGTGGGCTCGATCCCCAGTCAGGGGCGTGCAGGAGGCAGCTGATCAGTGACTCTCTGTCATCAATGATGCTGCTGTCTCTCTCTCCCCCCTCCTTTCCTCTCTCTCAAGTCAATAAAACATTAAAAAAAAAAAAGATGTCACTATTCCTAGTTCTTCTCTATATGCAGACCAATAAAATATATGTATGTCTATGTGTACATACATACGTGTATATATATATATATCTGCCTGACTCCCTGTCTACATTCATACCTAGCTATATCCATCTATCTATATAGATATTGAAACTAGTTTTTACCAATATCTCCAGTTCATGTCTAATACCATAAGGTTTATTCTAGTATTTGTAACTCCCTTTTGTGACATTGAGAAACCTATTTCCCATTATTCTAAATTTGTTTTCTTATTTGTTCAATTCCCCTGTATGTAATCTACCTCCCATTGCCACCCCTTCCTTACACTTATGCCTTCCTCACCACAAGTGGGTTTTGACATCCCATGCTGGCTCTCGCTGTGAATACTTTCCTCACTGTCTTCAGGCTTGGGCATCCCATGTGAGGCTCTGGGATGCTTTCCTTACCCTGCTTGATTTGTGACTCCTCACATCAGGTCACCGCCCTCTGGGGATTCCCTTTTATACACTGCTTAGCTTCTTCTGTCCTGTGACAGGCTGCTCTTCGCCATGGTCTTTTTCTTTGTTCCTGTTCAGACTCTTGAGACCTCATGCTGGATTCCTCTCCCACAGGATTCCTTGTCAACCTGATTGGGTTTTGACACTTACAGGCCAGGATACCACTCTCTGGACACACTCTTCATCCTGGTTGGGCTCTGGCACATCAACCCTGCTCATGCCTCTGCAGACATGTTCTTTGACGTGCAGGGGATGTGGGTTTGCCACACCAGGCTACCTCTTTGAGGGTATTGAGGACATACCCTTCTGGGCTCTAAAATGCTATTCTGGGCCACCCTCCTAAATGGATGACCATCACACTCTGCTTGGGGTTCTTTTTTTTTTAAAATCCTCACCTGAGGACATGCTTTTTATTGATTTTAGAGAGTAAGGGAGACAGAGTTAGAAACAAATATTGATGTGAGAGTGAAACATCAGTCGGTTGCCCCCGCACATACCCTGACGGAGGATCGAACCTGTAACCTAGGTATGTGCTCTGACCGGGAATCAAACCCATGACCATTCAGTGAGTGAGATGATGCTCCAACCAACTGAGCCACCCTGCCAGGGCTCTGCTTGGGGTTCTTGATGTCCCTTCATATGACTCCCTTTCTGACCTTGCCTCAGGACTGATAACCTGCCTTCCCTTTCCTGCTTTGTAGACCCCTTCCTTATTTTTTACAACCAATTTCTTAGGCCAGACAGATCCCCCTGCTGTATGGTCACTCCTCTGTTTGCTTGGGCTCTGATACTCTATGCCAAGCAGCTCTTCTTCACATAGTGTTTCAGTATTTCAGTACCCAAGTTTGGATCACTGTGTTTTCTCCCCACCTTCCTCTGCCCTACCTAATGGCTTCAGGATTGAATGGTTCAGGAAAGGAAGGGAAATTATGAGTTTTTACTTTTTTAATCTTTGTTAATTTGATAAAGTTCTTGTCTTTTCATTTTCTTAGTTACTTTATCAGTTATATACATTACAGATATTCTGTATTCGTCTTCAGCAGTCTGTCTTGCTACATTAAGTATACTAGCATAGGTATTTTAAGTTAGTCTTGAGGGCCAGTTAGTATATTATGCCATAATTTTACTGAGGGCTATGGCTTTGTTGCTAATTACTTTAATAACTTAAGTATTATTTTGTTACATGTGCTTTTTTTTTTTCAAATCCTTACCTGAGAATATTTTTTTCATTGATTTTTAGAGAGAGTAGAAGGGAAGGAGAGAAGGGGCTGGGGGAGACGGGGAGAGAGACATCGAGAAACATCAGTGTGAGAGAGAGACATTGATTGGTTGCCTGTTGCATGCACCGAGGCACCTGGGTTGAGGATTGAACCTGCAACCCAGGTACGTGCCCTTGACCAGGAATCGAATCCACAACCCTTCTGTGCGCAGGCCAACACTAACCACTGAGGCACTCCGGCTAGGGCATGTCACATGTGCTTTTATATTTGTTTATACCTGACTAGTTCTGATCAGCCACTGCACCTGTAAACACAGTGTTTATGGGATTTCCTTGTTGACTATTCTCAGCTTGAATTTAGCAGAATGTTTTGTTTAAACTTACACAAAACAGTTTGTGCTTTGCCAACATTTTCTAAGCTCTGCATAGGTCTTTCCCCTTTCCCTTTAGTAATATAAACCATCCCCTTGCAAGGAAGATTATTCCAGGAAAAGTATATTTTAAATCAGTTATATAACATACTTTAGAGTTAGTTGAAGGTCTAATTACATAGTCTTTGAAGCAGAATTTTAAGACCAGTATCATTCTTAGCAGTTGTATTTTTTACAAGGAGTTTCAGTGATGCTGGTATTTCTCCTTTCCCTCCCCATATTTAGAATTGAATTAACTTTACCAGTAATTATTAAGTTGTTACCCTTTGCTTGGAAATTTTTTTGTGTCCATAGAAATATAGATGCTTCTTGTTAAAAAAAATCTGAGGTAGTTTATATGTGTATAGAATTTTGTTTTAATGTATAGGAACTTCAAGTATTTTCCTCCTTAAAATTATAAGGGACTCTTTTGCTGCACTACAGGCATTGGTTTTGTTTTTTTCTATGTAACATTTCTTATTCAAGATATGCCTAATTTTTTCTTTTTGGAGAGGGTATAGAGATTACTTTAAACTCCATCTGTAATTATCGATCTTGAAAATGCATAATAAGCAAACTACTAACTACCCTTTCAATCTCTACTAGTCCCAATACTGATATATTCTATCCAATTTAGCGAACATTTCATTGTTAAGAAATGTATTGATTACTAGAATCACTGTGAAGTAACAGTTGCAAAGTGGATAATCTAATAAAAGACCATATTCAAATCTACCAATAAGAATAAACTTAAGTGTTGTCTGCCTTTGTTGGAATTTTAACTATTTAAGTATTAGTTATATAGAAATAAGCTTAAATTCAAATGGTTTACACATCATCTTGGGCATGAGCATGGAGTGATTTGATTAAGTGTGTTAGCATTCTAACTTCTAGCTCTATAGAAAATACTGTACAAAACTTAATGACCCCGGCTTGTGTGGCTAAATGGTTGAGCATCTACCTATGAATCAGAAGGTCATGGTTTGATTCCCGGCAAGGGCACATGCCCGGGCTTTGGGCTCAGTCCCCAGTAGGGGGTGTGCAGGAGGTAGCTGATTGATGCCTCTCTCGATGTTTCTGTCTACTCTCCCTCTCCCTTCCTCTCTCTGAAGTCAATAAAAACATATTTATTGACCCCAAAACTTAATTGAGATGTTTTGTGTGACCAGTTTTTTTAAAAAAGCTGTAAGTAATGCAGGAAACTGGTATTATTTAACTTTCTGTTACTCTGCTTACCTGGAAACTTGTCTCATACTTTCATTTACAGTTGGGCCAAAACACAATAGTATAATGCCACTATAGTTTAATGTTGCTGAAAATGCCCTCCATTCACATTTCTGTATTTGATAAATTCTGCTCTAAAACCAAAGTTTTACCACATTAGGGAAATACTTATTTTAAGCCTCAGGAATATTATTTATTGCCAGGTTGTTTATACCATTTCAATCTATACATCAGTAATGCACAAATCAGCAAATCCAGTAAGGGCTATTTTCATCAGTTCTGCTTACTCCATTTCAGTAAGAGGTAGTCTGGGTAATTAAGTTGCTGTCATGTTTTGAAATTTAGGGCATTATTAGCATTTTTTCTAATGCATATTTAGAAAGGTATCATTTAAGGTATATGCCTTAGTTTTAGTTCCTATAGAATAAGATTCAGGAATTTTTATAAAAGGAAGCTTTTATAAAATGTTATTTGAACTGCTGTTTGTGAGACTTTAGGGGACTAAGTTTCATATGAAATCATTAGCATCAGCATTCAATAAAATGTATTTTGAGTAGATACACATAAGCTTAATATTTCTTCTTTATCTGAATAACCAGTGACTAACATTTTAATGTAGTTATTATGGTTTCAAAAGTAATTTAAAAACTAAATTTCATAAAGTATATTCTTTGTTAGTATTCACTAGAGATTTCATATTTTTGTAAATAGATCTGTTTTACATGTTTGGTGTACAAAGTACCAAGATGAATCTGCCTTATCTTTAGGGGCTGTCACATTAATGACAGGCAGATAGGAAAACTCTAAAGTAACGATTTTCAACCTTTTTCCATCTCATGGCACACACAAACTAATTACTGAGATTTTGCGGCACACCAAAAAATAGGTATAATTTTCACACAAGATTGCTATTGTGTTGGCTATTGTCATTTTTTTATTTGACAATCTAAGGGAAAAGAGGTCAGTGCCCCTGACTAAATTGTCAGGTATTGCATGTTTTAAAAATTCTTGCAGCAGCCTGGCTGGAGTGGCTCAGTGGTTGAGGGTTGACCTATGTACGAACCAGGAGGTCACAGTTCAATTCCGGGACAGGGCACATACCCAGGTTGAGGGCTCAATTCCCAGTAGGGGGCGTGCAGGAGGCAGCTGATGGACGACTTTCTCTCATCATTGATGTTTCTATCTCTCTCTCCCTCTCCCTTCCTCTGTCTCTGAAATCAATAAAAGCATATGTTAAAAACAAATTCTTGGAGCACACAGGTTGAAAATTGCTGCTCTCAAGTTTACTTAGGCTAGCAAGTAAAGAACAGCTGATACCCAGGGAGGGTTAAAACATGTCTTTGAACTGACTGTCAAAGCATGGCTTTCTCAGAGGTAGGCATGTTAAGTCAGGCCCACACATGTGGGTACTTCTAGTGTCCTGTCACTTGGTTACTTCAGGTTAATTACAAAGGAATTGTGTTAATTGTTTTACTCACTTATGCCATTTAGTTTCCACAATAATCCAATAAAATAAATGTTATTATTCCTTTTTGAAAATGAAGAAACTGAGACTGATAGAAGTTAAATAACCTACCCATAGTACTGGCCCTTAGATCTAAATCTTACTCTTAACCATATGGTTTGCTATACTGATTCCCCACATTGGTATGTTTTTTATTGCACCATGCAGTCAGCATTTGCTGTTTTAGTCTGGAATGTGGTCATCTTATAAAGGGAAATTATTCTCTGACTTCAATCATTTCTGAAATTCTTTTATTGTAGGCCTCTCTTAGAGACTTTAAATGATTAACTAGAAAAAAGAGTTATCAGTGTTTAAAAAGATTCACCATTTACATTTTTTAAAATATGTTTTTATTGATTTTAGAGAAGAAGGGAGAGGGAGAGAGAAACATGGATGTGAAAGAAGAACATTGATCGGCTGCCTTCTGCACACCCCCTACTGGGGATTGAGCCCGCAACCCAGGCATGTGCCCTTACCAGGAATTGAATCAGCAACCTCTGGGTCACCATTTAATTTTGACCAGTTTTATTAAAATGATACTGTAAAAATATAGGGAGAGCCTGGGCTATTAAAAGACTGAACAGAGAAATAACTGTCTGGTTAGTTGCAAGATAGTAATTTCCCACCCCAATGGTTAATGTTAACTTACAGCAATTTTTGTTTTGGCACTTTAAACTCAGCATCAAAAATGCATTCTCACTTTTTATGTTTAGCTGTTTTTAAAAATAGGCTGTGGTTATTAAATATGTGTGTGGTGAATTGTAGGTTTATTAAAGAATTGAGGGCATAAAATAGACTGGAAGGGATTGTAATTGTTGCATATTTTAATGCTCATTGACTTTCAAATATATTTAAAAGTGATGTTTGAGGAATGATTCTTCCTTTATTTTCTTAGCTTTTAAAATTCTTTTAAAAATACAATTTTAAAAAAGTGGTTTTATCTGAAATATCAGATGTAGAGTCTTGTTTTGTGTGACCAACAGTTCGAATTTTTAAAAGTAATGGCAATTATTCCAAATGATTTTCTTTCAAAATTAGATATTTTCTATCTGCTTTTACATGTAATCTGGAATTGTGTGCTTGTGAACACACCCATACTGATATGTCATTATTTTCACTTCATAGGAGCCATCTAGAACAGTTTCAGGCAGATACAAAAGGTAAGAATCTTTAAGGTATGACTTACAACATATTGTAGACGTGAATGTAATGTCTGTCTCACCATGGCTTAACTAACTAGAACTGTCGAGCAGCTTTTTGAAAACTAAGAAACCTTTATATTGTGCTGTTAAAACGAAATTACACTGTAGGCAGGAGTGTAATGTCTGTCTAACCATGACATATTCTGGCATACCTTGCAGTCTTTGAAACTGTGTACACTGTGAATTTGTATGGACCTGATGAACTTAGCAAAATAAAAACTTAGAATCATTTTTCCTTATGTATTTAAACATTGAAAATACCACCTGTATTACTCAGCTTGGGCTGCCATAACAAAAAACCATAGACAGGATTGCTTAAACAGAAATTTATTGTCTTACAGTTCTGGAGGGCTGTAAAGTCCAAGATCAGGGTGCCGGCAGGGTTGGATTCTGATGAGGGTTGTTCCTGACTTTCAGATGGCTGCCTTCTTGCTGTGTCCTCAAGTGGTGGAGAGAGAGAGGGTGGATTCCCTCAGGTCCTTCTTAATAAAGACACTAATCCCATTGTGAGGGCCCCACCCTCATGACCTCACCTAAACTAATTACCTCCCAAAGGTTCCCCTTTCAAACAGACCATTTCATTGCGGGTTAGGACCTCAGCATAAGAATTTTGGGGGTGCATAGTTGGGTCCTTCCTTAGTTTTGTTCAGGCTGCTATAACAAAGTACCACAGACTGGGTAGCTTTTAGGCAACTGAAATTTATTTCTCATGGTTCTGTAGGCTGGAAGTCAGAGATTAGAAATGTGCAATTTTGGTCAGCTTCAGGTCAGGGCCCTCTTCTGGGTTGCTGACTGACAACCTATTGCTCTATCCTCACATGGTGGAAAGGGCTAGGGAGCTCTTGTAGGGTCTTTTATAAGAACACTGATTCCATTCATGAGGACTCCACCTTTGTGACCTAAGCACATCCCCAAGATCCCACCTCCTAATACCATCACATTGGGCAGTAGGATTTGGACATGAATTTTCAGGGGGTCACAAACATTCAGACCATAGTAAAGCAATCCCATGGCACCACCTCTACACAATGAGTAATGCTTTTACCAGAAAATATGAGTGTCTGTGCACATGTGTAGTATGAGAAGTTGTTTGATGGAGATGCCTGGGATATTAGCTTTGTTCTTCCCTGTTGAAGCCATAAAGGTTTTAGAAGATGTGATCTTACATGTGCTAATAATTATAGAATAATTATAAATCAAGTGCTTATAATGCCCAAAGTGCTTTACAGAGAGATTTCATTCAGTTCTCATTTACTTTCATTTCATAGATGAGGGGTTAAAGAGGTAGAATAATTTCACTGGGGTTACAAAGCTAGTTAGCCTCTGAATCTAGATTTGAACTCAGGCAACCTGACTCCAGAACCCATAAGCTTGCACTTGACCATATCCCTAGATTTATATAAGACCATTGTTTTCCTCTACTTGTATGTTAAAGTTTAAAATATTTGGTTAAAAGTTTTGATTATTATATTCCATCTAAAATAAAACACTAAGAGGAGCTCTTATTTTAATACTAAGTTACATACAAATAAAATTTAACTTTGAATTTTTACCATGGCCATAATATCTATTAGTGGTAGAAAGGGAGATAAGAAGACCAAGATAATCAACAGTTAAGTAAATAGGTCTGAAACCATTTCTGTCAAACACTTAATATCGTTGCTACTGCTACGGCTTTTATTTTCATTTATGGGTAATTTTGATTTAGGTATAATGAAACTCAGATGCTTTTAAAAGCTCCTAACATTTATACATTGCTTGGTAATTTTTACAAAACATGAATAGTTTTAAACTAGAAAGAATCTCTTTTCTTTTGCAAGAAATCATTGCCAGTCAAATAGCTTTGATTTGTCCTATTTTGCACCTACCATTCTCAGACAAAAAAAAAGTTTTGGTTTGGGGAATAGAGTTAAACTTCAGCCCTAGCCAGTTTGTTCAGTGGTTAGAGCGTTGGCCTGTGGACTGACGAGTCAAGAGTTCGATTCTGGTCAAGGGCACATACCTGGGTTGCAGGCTTGATCCCCAGCCCCAGTCGGGGCACGTGCGGGAGGCAACCAGCTGATGTGTCTCTCTCACATGGATGTTTCTCTATCTCTGTCTTTTCCTCTCCCTTCCACTCTTTCTAAAAAATCAATGGAAAAAATATCCTCAGGTGAGGATTAACCAAAAATAAATAAATATATAAATGAATAAAAGATAAACTTTAATAACTTGTCAAATTTGTTGTATGAATCATATACATATCTAGTTCCTATTAAATAATAAACCTTAAATTATGATTGGCACATTTCAGATTTGTGTTCTTTTTATAAAAATTTTATTTTTTTAATTACAATTGTCATACAATATTAGTTTTAGTGCACAACATAGTGATTAGACATTTATATACCTAACGAAGTGATAAATGTAGCCCTTTGACACCATACATCAGATTTGTGTTCTTTAATTAGAGTTAATACAGCAATAATTTTCTTGTAAATCCTCATCAAAAACTTTATTTGCATATCATGCTGTTAAATCAGGAAGAAAACTGGTTCCCAGTGGTGTATATTTTTATTTTTAAGCTTTTTAAAAAAGACCATTATTTTACGTGTGACCTGTTTGTATACTTGTACTTTTTTTACTTTCATAGCCTAGAGTATTTCGTTTGTTACTTTTCAGCTTTCAGAGGTTTAGACCTGTTTAATACTGTTATAGAACAATAATTTTTTTTAAGTTCTAGTTATTATTCATATGACACAGCAACTTGTAGTTGGAATACTTTCTAAAAAGGAAAAAAAGGACACTTAAAAACATAAAACCTAGAATCTACATCTGAAATTACCAATTCCCTATATAGAGGAATTTGTTATATTATACATCGGCAGCTTATTATTTTTATTAATCTGTCATCAAGTTGTAGCAATGACTAAAGAAGGCATAAATGTTTCTTGGTGAGGATGTATGCTGACTGATGGGGATAAAAAAAGGAGAAATGGGCTAAAGGATAGAAATTTGGCATCATATGTTAGAAAATATTTTCAGTAAACCAAATAACTTATATAGACAGTTATACAAACTCTTAAAGTCTAATATTAGAGGGTACAAGCACCAACAAGACTAGTTTGTATGTGTGCTGTTATAAATTTACGAATTAAATATTTAATTTTTTCTTACAAGTATCAAGAATGTGCTTTTTGAACATTTAGTCTGTTAAGCACTTACTCTAGATATGCTATAGAATCGTCCCCCCTTATCCGCAGGCGTAGTCTAAGACCCCCAGTTGGTGCCTGAACCCATGTGTATTGAATCCTGTATATACTGTTCCCCTCCTATACTTGCATAGCTATGATAAAGTTTAATTTGTAAATTAGAGATTAACAACAATTAATAATAAAATAGAAGAAGTAATATACTATAATAAAAGTCATGTGAATATAGTTTGTCTCTCAAAATATCTTATAGTACTATACTCATCCTTCTTCTGTGATAATGTGAGATGATGTCTGCCGGATAAGATGAAGTGAGGTGAAGGATGTAGGTATTGTGACATAGCATTAGGCTGCTATTGACCTCACAATTTTTTTTCACTCTTCACCCGAGGATATTTTTTCCATTGATTTTTGAACAGAGTGGGGGGGAGGGAAAGGGGGGGAGAGAGAGAAAGATGTAAGAGAGAGACATCAATGGTTGCCTCCTGCACGTCAGTCAGTCTGATGACTGACATGGCTACTGTGTAACTAGTCAGGTAGTGTATATAGAGTGGATACACTGGACAAGGGGATGAGTCGCATTCTGGATGGCACAAGATTTCATTACGTTACTCAGAAGGGCTTGAAATTTAAAACTTAAGAATTGTTTATTTCTGGAATTTTCCATTTAATATTTTCAGAGCATTGTTGACCATGGGTAACTGAAACTGGAAAGAAAAATAACGGATAAGGGAGGACTACTGTATTTTATTGAATTGATTCTTATCTAGAACATCTCTCTCATGTTCACTGACTCCCGTTTTAAAATGTTTAAATAACTTTAAGGAACTACAGTCATCCCTCGATGTACTTGGGGTATTAGTTCCAGGACCCTACTCAGATACCAAAATTTGGGGATGCTCAAGCCCCCTATATAAACAAACCTATATACATTCTCTTGAATACTTGAAATCACCTCTAGATTATTTATAATAGCTATTACACTGTAAATGCTATGTAAGTAGTCATTGTGCTGTATTGTTTAAGGAATAGTTACAAAAAACATCTGTACATGTGCAGTACAGATGCACCCATCACTGGCCTAACTACAGAGTACACATCAGCAACATTGTAACATTTTTTTTCTGAAATTTTCCACCCAAGGTTGGTTGAATTTGTGGATGTGGAACCATTGGATATGGAAGGCCACTTGTATTTGGAGATGTGGGGGGTCATGAAATTCCTGAAACTCAAGGGTTAGGAAATACTCAGTGTCATATATTTGTAGGTTTTTTCCCAATGTGTAATTTTCTTAATAGAATGTTTACTTGGTTAAGTTTATAGTGCATTGATTAAAATAAAATTATTTTTAAAAGGCCAAGGCAGATATTAGTTGTGTGGCTGTGGATACCCTGCTTGATGTGATATCTAAATAAACGCTGCATACATACATACAACAAACAAACAAACAGAAAACCCCAGTCTGAATAACTTGCAAAGGGCAGATTAGCCAGGATGTATAATTTACAATTCTTATTTAAGCATGTGATTTAACCGTTAGGAATGGCACTGATTAAAAAACAAGGGAAGCAAGTTAAGCAGACATTGTTCTATCATTCTCACATAGTAATTAACATCCTTTTATTTTCACAGATTTTTTAATACATTATTAATTACCTTATTAAGTAACATTTATGCAAAGTGATAAGTGTGCTACTAAGTTGACCTCCTCTCCAGTAACAATAGGTTACATGTATGTAGCTTTTAATGATATATAGAGCACCTTCT